TGATAGTGACAACAGTGATGGTAGCTCTATGAGCCCAAAGACAAGACCCATCTCTGGCCTCTAAGCCTCCCTTCATGGACTGAGAACTATGGCATGGAAGAAACCAATGATGTGAGTTCCATCAGCCTGAGAGCAAGGTGTCCCTACCATGAGTGACCATGCTTGGCTGAGATGCAGCTCAGGGCTAGTAAGGAGAGGCCAGTGTGGGGGGAAGCTGCTAGAGTTTTTCTGAGTGACCCTATACAGACACTTGGACTGCTCGATACTTCTGAAAAGCCCTAGTATCATGTGTTTTCTGTGTAGCTGTGGTGGGGAAGGTATAGGACCTTAGTTTGAGTTCCTAGGAGGCCAAGTCTGAGACTTAGGTCCAGGGAGACCCAGTGAGCCCTGGTCCCAGGAATCAGAAGAAAAGGAGCAGAAGATAAGGAAGTCCCTCTAAGGAAGGAAGAAAGGCTGAGGCTGCTTTCTTTGGCCCTGAAGCTTGATCCACTGCCACCTCTAGGACAGGAATGGATTTGCTTACTGAAAGGATGGAAGCATGGACTGTTCACCTACTAGGCCCCTCCCCCAGTGAGATGAGCTGGTCCTGGAGGCATGGATTCTGCACTTCTGGCTGTGGGAACTTGGCCAGAGCAGTTTCCCATGCACCTGGAAATAGGCATGAGGCTATCAGTGTAGATGAGGGTGAGGTCACCGAGCTCTTGGTACTTCTCACCAAGAAGTCACATTGTCAGAGGTAGGCCTTGGGATACCAAAAGGGCAGCAAGGGTTCTGCCACAAGCTGTCCATTTGCCTGTGTCAAGGGCATGTTGAAACCCTTGGGAAGGGAGCAAATCTTCAACCCCATCGTGTGGCTCCCACTCAGGTCCACTACAGTGGGCTCTTTATTATATAATATGGTCATGGTCATGGTCATGGTCATGATAGCATGGGACCATGGAACATGCAGATGAGATATGACCAGTTTTGAAAAACATGAGCAGATGTAGCCTAGATCACTATAACCCATCTTCCTGGGTAGGAAGCTTGCTGTGGCCTTAGAACATTCCTAAGAGGGGAGTGAATAATGATTTAATCATTGCCTTAGATGCATGATGTCTTTTTGGGTTACTGAAATATTAAGTAAGAAAATCTTGCTGGATTTTCTTCCATAGAAATTGAATTAGCAACATGATTTTTTAAAATGTGTTCATGAAAATGTTCATTCAAACCTTGAAAATCAGCCCTGTCAAAACTTCCAAAATGGTTCCTAAAATCCAAGCGTTTTCATACTTGAAGAACACCTCCAGACACACACATATGCACTCCCACGATGCTCAGAATATGTGTTTGTGAAATGCTCCCCAGCTCCAGGAAGCAGTGGTGCAGAGGACAGTGTCTGAGAAATATGATGAATTCCTTGTGTTTCTCTGTGGCCAGCAGAGTACTATAATCCACAGTCCTTTAAAGTTGGCACTTGTTATCAGTCTGTTACAGGTGCTACTTCCCAGCTGAGGGAGCCTGGGACCCTGTTTATTGATGTTTGATTTCAGATAATTCAAGAGGAATGCCTGTCCCTTTCTGTCATCCAGGAGGTTCTTTAAGAGTTCTGGGGTCAAGTGTCTCTCTATGTTCTGTAGAAAGGGTAGGGGGCATGACCACCTGCTAAGTGTTAGGATTGGGGCAGTAATTTGGGGAACCCTGCTATTTGGGCACTAAGTTGGGGCTAAGCAAGGTTCTGGGCAGGTGTAGTTATCAGAAGCCAAGGTTCTGGCAGGAAGGGACAGGCAGTGGTGGACAGCAAGAAAAGGTGCATAGTCCAGAGTCCAGTTGGTGAAAGTCCTGGTGCCAGATCCATGGGCAGGACTCCAGGTTTTCTCTCAGCACCTCATCCACCCTATGTTGCACTTGTGGCTGTGGCCAAATAGGGGCCAACAAACATGTGCACCATAGTTTCCAACAGAACAAATATGAGGAAGAGTATTGATTCCAAAAACCTGAATGGGGATTAAAATAAAGAAAAGTTTCAGAAAGAAAGAACAAGTCCTGTCTCAGTTCAGCTCTTTGAGGACAGTAGGGTTAGAGATAAGTGAGGATCTAGTCAGCAGTGAAAACGGTCCATGCCTGGGGCCTCTAATCACCCACACCTCCACAAGGGAGGGTTTGAACCTGGTGACCCACTACTTCTATGTCATAGCTGATTGCAGGAGAAATGCCATGATTCAGGGGAACCAAACAGATCAATCCTGAGAATTTGGGATCAGATCCATGGGTCAATTGACTGATGGCACTGACACTGAGGTATCCATGTTTGAACATTTGAGGTCAGGGAGGAAAGATCTTAAGGAGGGGGAAAACTAAAGAATCAGAGGACCAGAGATGCAGATGTGGGAACTACACAGTCCTGAGTATCATAGGGGATGGAGAATGTCAAGGACTCATCCCACCACCTTTGGTCCCTTGGACTATACCTGCACTTCCTGGCCAAAGTTCTTCAGTTCCTCAATATAATCCCTATAACTCTGACTAAATTCACATTTGTGAGATTTATTTAATGAACATCAATTATTGCCAATCCAGTGATTCTTGGAGAACCCGTGCTTTCATTTTCATGGCAGGATGGAGCCTGTAGAAGGAAGTCTGGGTACAAGGGGCTCTTGGAGTGAGTAGCAGCAGACATATAGAGACATTTTGAGTTTGAAACAAGTAAGAGGATAAGAGGAACTTGTGCCTTGTGCTTTCTAAGGGAGTTAGTGAGTTCCAAAGTCAAGGGTCCATCTCTGTCTCAATGTAAGGGAAATTTTCCGTGTAATTTACTGCCACAGTATGGTGGCATTGGGCAAAGGAAGTAGCTTGCTTCTACAGAAGGTAGACCACTTCAAGGTGTTTCATAGCATGTGGGTATAGAGTAATGGTGTGCACTGCATAAACAAAAACTTTCTTCCCCTCAGGGAGGACTCTATCCCAGGGCAGGAACATCCCCAAGCCATGACCAGGAAGACTACCATGACCATGAAGGACATCTTCATCTGCAGGTGGTGATGAGACAGGGACAGCATAAGCTATGATGGTGAACATAATCTGCTTTCAGAATCATATGGATCCCTCCAGCCCACGGAGCAGGCAAGTGAGGCCTCTGAACCAGATGGAGCCAATGGGGCTGAACAGGACAAGGAGGAGACAGAAAAATCTCCGGGAGAGGAAAGGAAATTTGGGAATAAGTAGAGATAACAAAAGATATTTTAAAAAGATTTATTTATTTGAAAAGCAGAGTAAAATGAGGGCACATTCAGGGAGAGAGGGAGATCATCCATTTGTTGGTTCACACCTCAAAATAGCCTAGGCTGGGCCAGGTCAAAGCCAGGAGGCAAGAGCTCCATCTGGGTGGTCTCCCACATGAGTGGTAGGAACCAAAGTACTTGGTTCATTATATTGCCTTCCAGAGCATATTAGCATAAAGGTGGATGGGAAGTGTTGATGCCAGAACTGGAATCTGCCCTGCCAAGTGATAGCTTAACCTATAGCCCTACAATCCCCACACCTTAAAAGTATTTTACAGGTACTGAAATTGTGGCATAGTGTCTTAAGCCATTGCCTGTTAAACTGGCACTCCATATGGATGCTGGTTCAAGCCCTGGCTGTTCCACTTCCAATCCAGATTTCTGGTGATGCTCCTGGTAATTGGGGAATTGCACCAAGTGGGAGACCTGGAAGTAGTCCCTTGTTCCTGGCTTCAGCCTGGCCCAGCCCTGGCCATTGTGGCCATTTGGTGAGTGAACCAGTGGATAGAATAACTCTCTCACTCTCTGTGTGTGTCTCTGTAACTCTTCATGTAAATAAAGTAAATCTTTAAAAATAGAGTGTCCTACAGAAGTTTTGCAGAGACAAGCAGAATAATCTTTCACCTCTCTGTAAAAATTCTAGTATAATTTCTGGACTGTGCTTTTGGAATTTTACTTCTCTAGGGAAAAGTGTCATTGGGGAAGTAGGGACCATTGGATTGGGAATGTAGGGACCATTGGAGTGGGAGATGTTTCAAAATGAGGGTGTGAGAGGCCCTAAGAGGTACATAGACTGTACTGCTTACACATCATGTTCATTTCCTTTCTTTGGCCCTGGGACCACCTCTCTGACCAGGGGCCCTGTGCCCTCCAAGGGCTGCCTTGACAAACTCAGGATACACTCCTTCTTCCCAGACATCTAAGGGAGAACTGAAACCACAGGAGTGTCCCTGAACTGCTCCCTGAAAACCTGACCCAGAACCACCCCTCGGGATCAGTGTCCAGATGACCCATACCTGCTAACTGGAAATAAAGAAGGCCAGTAGGTTCCTTGAGCCTGGGTTTAGCTGATTCATGATACGGTCAGGCCTTTGGACTTAGATGGCAGGGCCTCATAGGATATCAGATTTTCAGGCCTTGTTCCCACTCCTGTTCCTTAGACCTAGCAGCTATTATGCATGAGATTAAATTAGAGGCAGTGAGAGGATAGATTCAATGTGAAGTCATTAGGAAAGAGGCTATTATTTTGGTTCTTTCTGGAAATCCTTTTCAAGAACTTTGTCCTCTTCTTGTTAGCAAACAAAAAACTCATAATGCTCAATAATGGAGCAATGGATCACAAACAAGGGTGCTAATACTTAAATGAATTTACATGTGAGAATTTAATGGGTAGAAAATGAAATAATTCCCATTTGAATAAATTTACCTTCATTGCTAGATCCTATGAAACAAGGATTGTGTCAGAAAATTAGGTTTGGATAGTTACTTTCCCTCCATCATAGGGACTTTTAAATCTGGTTGAACAGGAATGCTGATCAGGAGCTTAAAATGAAAATATCCCCTATCTACCTACCTCCAAGTCTCTGGGACCAGGGAACCAAAAATTACATGACCCTGATTATTTGTTCCATGAAAGAATGTATGGAAAAGTGAGTGGGAGGAGACCAGTATCCAGAGGCAGCCACTGGAGAGGTCCACATGGCAAGGATCCAAGGCTCCCCACCAGTAGTCAGCACCTACCTGCCATCCATGAGGGTGTTCCACCTGAAGGTGGCTCCTCCAGCCTCAGTCTGGCATTCAGAAGACATCAGCCACAGCTGACACTGACTGCAGTCTCACCACAGAGACCATCACATCGCAGTCCCCAGCCAAGATGCTCCCATGGAGACTGTGAGGGGATAAAATATGTTATTACTGGTCAAGTTTTAGGGTGTTGTGCTACACAGCACTAGACTGGGATGGCTGTTGAGTAGGCAACTCCTACATCATCTGCGATGTTCCCCACTTCAACATATTTGCTTTTCTTGTGGGAAGCCCTCCTCTTGTGCATGCCCTGTAGAGAGTGATGCACCTCTAGGGAAAGATGGCCTGAGTGATATGTGTCACTCAAAGATGTTGGTCCCAGAGTCCCCAGAATCTATCCTGCTTACCTCCTTTGTGCCCCCCTCACTCTATGAGAAACCAGCTGAACTGCTGTGATCTGCTCTGTGACAAAGCCTTAGTGGTCCACTGCAGACTGAGGCCTTATGTCAGCAGCTAGCTATGCACTGAAGCTTGTGGTCCCTAACTGTATAAGGAATCTGGCCAATAACCATGTGGCTGAGCCTGACAGTAGAGTGGATTATCCCTCAGTGCAATCTTGAATTGATCATAGCTCCAAAAGGTACCTGGCTTCCAGGCTTAAGAAAAATCCTGTACCAGAGCTCACACTGGATTCCTGCTTGGAACAACAGTATCCTACCTGAAACCCTCACAAACTACATGGAACCCCAACATCATGCCTGAATGAAGCAGGTGGGACCCATAGTCCTCCTCTGTCTAGGTTCTGAGGGTCTGTTTCCCACAAAATGTTTGTTTCATCATATGAAGGAATGATTTAATCCTTGTCTATCATTCAGCCCAATTTTCTGCTGCAGTAAAACATTTCAGCAACTGCCAATTCCCATATAGATAAAATAGAGGAAAAAGAGAGAAGGTCCACAGTCTCATTCAGTGTCTTGGAAATCAAGCATACTGGAACTGTTTCTTAAAGAGAGAATGCTCCATATTCTGCTAAGAGGCTTTTCTTGACTTGTTAACATTTTTGTCACCCCACCAACAGGCCTGATTATAAATGTTTCATTTTCCAGTTTAGTGGTTTTACTTAATCTTTCCTTTGCTTCCTTCCCACACTGTGTGTTGATGGAGAGAGAGAGAGAGAGAGAGAGATGAGAGAGAGAGAGAGAGAGAGAGAGAGAGAAAGAGACAGAGAGGAATTTGCTCCTGGTTGAAGCTCCAAAATTTCTCAATAAACCAAAAGGAGACTTCATTCGGTTCCAGCAATGGGCCACCTTCCTGGACCAAATTATTTATGATTTGATTCCCAAATATTTGCATTAGCAATTAATAAAGAGGAACAGCAGTGGCCAAGGGTTTGTCTTTTGGGGGAGACTCCTAACTGTGGGTTTGCCAACCCTAGTGGGTGCCTGTGCTTTATCAAGACTTCCCCCTACCTCCATCCCAGTGTCCACCCCTGTCCTGCAGCCCAGCTGACGCTACATAGAACACACATGCATCAGTGTGATGGAGTCCATTACTCAGACAGCAAACCAAAGGGACACAATCCTAATGGCCCTTGGCTAATCTCTTAGGATGTGGTACTCTTTTAAATAATTCACTTCTGGTTCAATTTAAATTATTTTAAAGTCAGAATAAGCAGCTTAAACTGGTTAGCCTGGTGTTCCTCTAAGCCTATGCCACCTCTCAGTGTGGGAGTGAATCTGTTTCAACCAACAGTAACCAAAGGAAAGGATAGGAGATGAGTCTCCTGCATTTTCAGTTTCCCTCTCCCGTGAAAATTCAGTCCTGCAGGTGAGCTATGGTGAGCACAGTTGAGGCCCAAGTGTCTTGGCTGTCATGCCTGATATACAGCATCTATTTGATGGGTAGTGACTCAAAAGAAGATATCTCCAGTCTCTTGGCCACACTCAGTAAGAATATAGCCTTTCTCAGTTGGAATTGGACAGGTTGATAAATGAATGTCCTGAGATACAGCAAGACTTGTATGGGAGGTGGGGGAAAAGCAGCCAGAGTGAAGCTTCTGTGAGATGAGCCTGAGCTTGGGAGGAGGTAAAGTTGTAGCCTACATGCCTCAGACTCTTGCTGTCCACCCTTTTGTAGGTTTTTTTGAAAGCATGTTTCTTCATGTGTTTTATGCTTTTAGAACAGTTTGTGGAGACTTTAACTGTCTAATTTTTAAGTTGTTTTTATTGCCAGATTTCTGTTTCACTGGAGCATGATCCAGGGGCTGCTAGTGATGTCATCCCAGAGGTAGAGACTGCATTTGTTCATTCAGTGGTGCAGCTGTCTGTACATCATGACCTGACCTCCTAGGTGGTAAGTTTCAAGCCATGCAGTACAGTGCCATTGCATGTATTATTTTATGAACCCAGAATAGGAACAGTTTGGTTTTCAAATGAGCTAGTTCTATCTAAGCTCTATATCTATCCATCCATCATCCATCCATCATCCATCTATGCTATATCTATCCATCCTTCTTCCTATGTACCTACCTATCTGTCCTCTATCTTTCATTGTTCAGAAATGCAGGTTTCTTGTTTAGCTTGCTTTTGGTTTTATGGTTTGGAGAAAGACCTGACTTGTGCAATTCCTGCCTTTTGGAATTTAAGAAAAATTACATATTTGTATACAAAGGTGCAGTAAGTGTTTGAAATCTTTCACTAATATCTTGAGAAAAGGCATTCTCTGTTTTGGGGGCACAGGATCCAGTTGCACCTGTTAATTTCTTCTCTTTCGTTGTTTCTATCCTTTAGGTCTATGAGAGACAATTCCCAACAGGAAGTGCTAGGAACAGGAAGTGCTAGAAGAGAAACCACAGAACTGATTTGGAGGCAACATTGTAGAGCAATTGTATCTGGTTTGTGGTGATTTCCCTAGAACTTACCCATGCAGACCAGAATATGCTTCCTAAAGTATTTTTTCTTCAGAGGGACCTTGGCTGTTTTCCAGTTCTTCTTGCTGTTCAAGTAAGGAAAATTATTTGCCCAAGATCACATGGATTGGACTATGATAAAGTACAGAAAAATTAAGACACCCCATTATTGCAAAATAATCTGGGCTTGACCAAAGTTACTCCATTTTTTGGACCAAGCCCCATGTTGTGGGCTTTGGTTTAGGTTCCAGAAAGTGCTTTTGTCTGGGTCTGTTCCAGGAAATATTTTTCTCACCTCAGACTTGGATCTCTATTAACTGCTGCCTTCTGCTTCTGTAAACATGCTTGCTGCTTTCTTAAGATAATGACTAAAGAAATTGTATAAAACAGTTTAAAATATTCAGACATTGAGCGACTGTTACTTCTCACCCTGTAAAATGCTTACAGCTGGATTGGATAAGAATATGGAGGATAAGATTTGGAGCAACATGATTGGCTAGCAGGACCTGTGCTTAGGCCCTGGAAATAAGCCAAACAGAATATGAGTTGAAAATTTAAAAACCCTTGCCCTCCTCACTGTAGCAGGCAGTCTCCAAGGTTCCAATGGGATCTATCATTGCCAGACATGGCTTTTAATACAGATTCTTCTTTTTTATCTTTGTGTCAGCATGATCTCTTTCACTTTCCATTACAACAGCACCCAATGAATCAAGGAAGAGCATGAAGTCCCGGTTGTGGCCCTGCTTTAGGTGTGTTAGAATTTGTGTTTGTCTCCCATGCTGTCTCTGTGACAGTGCCTTTGAAATGAGGTGGACACACATTCATTTGTAGAGACATTATTGTTTGCAAGGCACCTCCCAGGTCTCACCTAATTTGACCTTCCCAGTTGATTGCCATTAAGGGGATCCTGTGGATGAAGCAGCCAAGGCTCTGAAATGGGTGGTTCTGTCATCCCTGGACTTTTGCCTCCTGAGTCCATGTGTCTCTTCAAAGGGCTTAGGGGTTCAGGCCCTCATTTGCCCAGTGCCAGTGTTCCCATTCTCATTTCCTGAGTTTCTCTTTTGGGGCACACTTGTACCACCCTGCAAGGCTTTTCCTTCCTATATTGGAACAGTGTTCCAGATAGTTGTCTGGGTGTTGTGATTGAAACTGAGAAGCCTAGAAAGTCAAGTCATGATTTTATATGTCACTCTGCTCTGCACCTTCCATAGGCATGTTATAAACAACTGGGTGTTCACATGAAGCTGTTCTTTGCTTTTCCTTTGGGAAATCTTGGTCGTCACCACCATCAGTGTCCTTCCTGTGTGTGAGCCTGTAAGCTCCCTTCTCCCTGGAAATGCTACTTGGCCAGACTCTCGGGGTCTCCTCTAGGTGAAGTGACCCCACTGAAATGGTTTCCAGACCTGTCAGAGACTCAGAGAAGCAGGAAGAGAGAGAAGAGAGAGAGAGAGAGAGAGAGAGAGAGAGATCTTCCATCTGTTGGATCACTCTCTCAAATGCCTGACATAGTTGGTGCTGGGCTAGGCTTAAGGGGCCAGGAACACCACACGGGTTTCTCATTTGGTTGGCATGGAACCAATCACTTGAGAAATCACTGTTGCCTTCTAGGATATGCATTAGCAGGAAGCTGGATTCAGAAGCATAGCTGGGACTTGAACTCAAGCACTATGACATGGGTATAGATATCCTCAATGACATTTTAACTGCTATGCCAAATGTCCATTCACTTTTGTTTTCAATGTTTCTTCCAATGATTATTACTTGATGTCTTTTAAATTTGCACCCTGGGCCTGTGCCTTGATGGAAACCCAATGCTCCCAGACCATGCAGCTCTAGAACCCATTGCAGATGGTGCTTGGTTGCTGGGGTAAGCCACTAGAGTTTAGAGGTTCCAAAAGAATGGTTTAGGGAACCAAGGAGGCTTGTGGTGTATGCTGGGGACAGGCTGGCTACATGACAGGGAAATCGACAATGAGATGTCCCTGTCTGAATGTTAATTTCCCTGTGTCCTGCCACTATCTATTTTGAGAAGTTCTTGGCCATTGATAAAACATAGTTTACAGATTCAAAAGGCTTCAGTAGGCTAGGCATCTCATGTAAAGAGCCTTGGGTGATCACTGATGGCATACATAAGAGTGTTAATTGTTGGGATCAGTGCTGTGGTGTGGTGGGTATAGCCACTGCCTGCAGTAACAGCATCCCATATGGGTGCTGGGTTAGGTCCCGGCTACTCCATTTCCAATCCAGCTCTCTACTATGGCCTGGGAATGCAAAAGAAGATGGCCAAAGTTCTTGAGCCCCTGCACCAGTGTGGGAGACCCAGAAGAAGCGCCTGGCTCCTGGATTTGGATCAGTGCAACTCCAGCTGTTGTGGCCAATTAGGGAGTGAACCAGCAGATGGAAGACCTCTTTATCTCTCTGCCTCTCCTTCTCTCTGTGTAACTGACTTTAAAATAAATAAAATAAACATAAAAATAAAATTTTAAAAGTATTAATTGTTAAAATTAACAACAGGATTAACTGTGTACTAATTTCCCATGCAGGACCTCTATCTTCAATATTAGAGTTACAATATTAGAGTTAATGGTAAAACTTGTTCTCAAAGATTTACTTTCTTTAATGTGTTAAGTAAAGATTATTTTTATATCTCTTAAGTTTTAGTTATGTGTAAATGCTTCTAAGAGATGTGCTATCTTCCTTACGTGTTTCCTTAAAGTTAATTTTGTTGCTCAACCATGGACTTTTGAATCCATGTCTCCCTATAATACTCCTATCTTGTATGTTTTAAAATCAAGTGGAGAATACAGGATGGTTCAAGAGCTCAGGGCAGTCAACAAAGCAGTTACTTCAATTCATTTTCTTGTGCCAAATCCTAATAGAATACTGACACAAATACCTGAAAGGATCTCATGGTATACAGCTTTAAACCTAAAGGATGCTTTTTTCTGCATCCTGTTAAGTTCAGAATCTGTTTTTATTTGCCTTTGAATGGACTGACCTAGTTTCCAGTATAATTCAGCAATATGCATGGACTGTCCTCCTCCAAGGTTTCTGGGACAGCCTGCACTTGTCTGGTAATGTGCTTGCAAAAGAACTCAGAGAATTATAGCTAAAAATAGAGCAATCTTACAATATGTAGATGATAGTCTCATCTACAGTCCCTCCAATGAGGACTTAACTGAAAATACCATCCAGTTTTTAAATTTCCTACCTAAGCAAGTAAATACATTTTCCCCAACAAAAGCTCAAGTTTCTAAACAAGAGGAAAATTGAAGGGCTGGTGCTGTGGTGTAGCAGATAAAGCTGCCATCTGCAGTGCCAAATAATGATTTATTCATCAATTCAACAGGAAGATGTAACTATTATAAACTTATATCAACACTATAGACCAAATGGATCTGACAGATATCTACAGAGCTTTCATCCTACAGTTGCAAAATACATATTCATCTCAGCAGTGCGTGGAACTTTCTCTAGGGCTGACCACATACTAGGCCATAAAGCAAGTCTCAGCAAATTCAAAATAATCAAAATCATACCATGCATCTTCTCAAAACACAATGGAAGGAAGCTGAAAATCAGCAACTCAGGAATCCCCAGAGCATATGCAAACACATGGAGACTGAACAACATGCTCCTGAATGAACAGTGGGCCATAGAATAAAATAAAAAGAGAAATCAAAAACTTTCTGGAAGTAAATGAGGATAACACACAACATATCAAAACTTATGGGATAAAGCAAAAGCAGGGTTAAGAGGAAAGTTTGTAGCAATAGGTGCCTACATCAAGAAATTATAAAGGTGCCAAATAAATTAGCTCAATGCATCTCAATGATCTAGAAAAACTACAGCACATCAAACAGAAAACTAGTAGGAAAAGAGAAATAATTAAAATTAAACAAGAAATAAACAAATTGAATCCAAAATCCATTACAAAGGATCTGCAAAAAGAAGAGTTATTTTTTTTTAATTTTTTTGACAGGCAGAGTGGACAGTGAGAGAGAGAGAGACAGAGATAAAGGTCTTCCTTTTTTTGCTGTTGGTTCACCCTCCAATGGCCGCCATGGCCAGCATGCTGAGGCCAGCGCACCATGCTGATCCGATGGCAGGAGCCAGGTACTTATCCTGGTCTCCCATGGGGTGCAGGTCCCAAGGACTTGGGCCATCCTCCACTGCACTCCCTGGCCACAGCAGAGAGCTGGCCTGAAAGAGGGGAAACTGGGACAGAATCTGGCACCCCCAACCAGGACTAGAACCCGTGTGCCGGCACCGCAAGGTGGAGGATTAGCCTATTGAGCACGGACCGGCCATGAAGAGCTATTTTTTTGAAAATATAAATAAAATTTACACACCATTCATCCAACTAACCAAAAAAAAGGAGAAGACCAAAGTCAATAAATTTAGCAATGAAAAAGAGAATGCAACAACAGACACCACAGAAATAAAAAGAATCATCAGAAATAACTACAAAATATACTAACAAACTGGGAAATCTATCAGAAATGGATAGATTCCTGGACACATACATCCTATAAACTGAACTATGAAAACAGAAAATCTGAACAGACTCATAACCGAGTCAGAAATTGAATCAGTAATAAAGGACCTCCCAATAAAGGAAAGTCCAGGACTGGATGGATTTGCTGCTGAATTCTACCAGAAATTAAAGAACTAACTTCAGTTCTTAACAAACTATTCAAAACAATTGAAAGAGAAGGAATCCATCGAAATTCTTTCTAAAAAGCAGCATCTCCTTAATTCCTAAACCTGAAAAAGCTGCAGCAAAGGATTACAGACCAATTTCTATGATGAACATAGAAGCAAAAATCCTCAATAAAATTCTGGTCAATAGAATGCAACAACACATCAGAAAGATTATCCACCTAGACCAAGTGGGATTTATCCCTGGTATTCGGGATTGTTAATATTTCAAATCAATCTACATTAACAAACTGCAGAAGATAACCATTATGATTATCTCAATAGATGCAGAGAAGCATTTGATGAAATAAACACTCTTTTGTGATGAAAACTCTAATCAAATTGGTGTAGAAGGAACATACCTCAACACAATCAA